CAGAAAAGGACAACGATATTTAGGATTAAAGGTCCAGAGTCAAGACCAAGACGCAATTAGTAAATGGAATGGTTCAGCCAAGACAACATGGTCCACATGGGCATGCATGGGTTCAAAAGTCAGTTTGTTCGTTAGATGCCACATATTCATGAAATCATATGGTATTTGTCTTTCTCTGACTGGCTTATTTCACTTAGCATAATGTTCTCCAGGTCTATCTATGCTGTTGCACAGGATGAAATTTTCTTTTTTACAGCGAAGTAGTATCCCATTGTGTAAATGTCCCATAGTTGTTTTATGCACTCATCTACTGATGGACACTTGCGCTGCTTCCAAATCTTGCCGATTGTAAATGGCGCTGCGGTGAACAGAGGGGTGCTTGCATTCATTTGAATTAGTGTTTTGAATTTCTTCAGATAAATTTCCAGAAGCTGAATTGCTAAATCATAAGGCAGTTCCATTTTTAATTTTTTGAGGTATCTCCCTCCATACCGCTTTTCACAGTGGCTGCACCAATCTGCATTCCCACCAACAGTGCAAAAGGGTTCCTTTTTCTCCACATCCTCACCAGCACTTGTTGTTGATTTATGGATGATAGCCATTCTGACAAATGTGAAGTGATATCTCCTTGTGGTTTTAATTTGCATTTCTCTGATGATGAGTGACACTGAGCATGTTTTCATATGTCCATTGGTCATCTGCATGTCCTCTTTGGAGAAGTGTCTATTCAAGTCTTTTGCTGATTTTTTTCATTGGATTGTTTGGGGGGAGTTTTGGTGTTGAGTTTTATAAATTCTTTATAAATTTTGGATATTAACTCCTTATCAGATGTATTAGCAAATACATTCTCCCATTCAGTGGGTTGTCTTCATTTTGTTGATGATTTCCAAAGCAATCTACCAATTCAACGCAATTCCTACTAAGATACCAATGACCTATTTCACAGAACAAACTAGAACAAATATTTCAAAAATTTATATAGAACCACAAAAGGACCCAAAGAGCAACAGCAATATTGAGAAAGAAGAACAAAGTTGGAGGAATCACGCTACCTAATATCAAACTGCACTATTAAGGCCATAGTAATCAAAACAGCATGGCACTGACATAAAAACAGACACATAAATCAATGGAACAGAATGGAGAGGCCAGAAATAAACTCATGTGTTTATAGTCAATTAATATTTGACAGAGGAGACTTGCAGTCAAGACGGAGGTATAGGTAGACATGCTTCACCTCCTCACACAACCACAAGAATTACAACTAACCTCAAAACGAAAAACACCCGAACCACCAGAAAATCGAACTGTATGGAAGTCCAACAACCAAGGATTTAAAGAAGTCATATTCATCCAGATGAGTAGGAGGGGCAGAGTCACTGTGTCAGGGCAGAGAGAATGTGGTATGGCACGGTGAGATAGTGTTGGCAGCAGAACAGGCAGTCCCACATTCACATGTGGTAGATATAAATTGGGAGGGATACTGTGGGAGCCAGCGATTCCAGCCCCAAGCCACACTGCATAGCCCACTATTCCAGCCAGGAAGAAAAGCCTCGTAACTTCCGGTTGTAAAAACCAGTGGGGTTTGGGGTAGCGGAAGAAAGTGCCAGTCTCTCAGGAGAGTCCCTTTAAAGGGTCTGCACAGACTTAGAACATATGCTAACCCACGTTCTCTGGGATTCACCAGCAGGGCAACAGCTGGAAGGGCGCCAGTCTCATACAGGAAGCAGGTGAAGTGACTGGAAATGGAGCAGGTGGTGGGCAAACCTCTAGAAGTCAGGCCGTAGCACTGCCCCCTCTGACGACTCCCACCACACAGAGCCACAAAATGGTGAAGCAGGTTGCCCCACCCTGGAAAATATCTAAAGCTCTGCCCCTTACAACTTAACAGGTGCACTAAAACAGGGAGTCAAAGCAGCTCTACCTAATACACCAAAACAAACACAGAGAGGTTGTCAAGTAGAGGAGACAAAGAAATGTGGCCCCAATGAAAGAAAAGGACAAAACCCCAGAAAAAGAACTAAACAAAACAGAGATAGCCAACCTATCAGATGCAGATTTCAAAACACTGGTGATCAGGATGCTCAGAAGACTCATTGAGTAAAACAACAACATAAAGGAAGAAATGAAGGTTACACTGAGTGAACTAAAGAAAAATCCACAAGGAACCAACTGTGAAGGGAAGGAAGCCAGAATTCAAGTCAATGATTTGAAACATAAGAAAGAAATAAACATTCAACCAGAACAGAATGAAGAAACAAGAATTTTTTTAAAAAAAAGCAGAATATAAGACGATTCTGGGACATCTCCAAAAGCGCCAACATCCGAATCATAGGGATGCCAGAAGGAGAAGAGGAAGGGCAAAAAATTGAGAAGTTATTTGAAAAATAATGAAAGAAAACTTCCCTAATTTGGTGAAGGAATTAAACATACAAGTCCAGGAAGCACAGTGAATCCCAAGCAAGTTGGATCCAAAGAGGGCCATGCCAAGACACATCATAATTAAAATGCCAGAGGTTAGAAATAAAGAATCTTAACAGCAGCAAGAGAAAGGCAGAGAGTTACCTACAAAGGAGTGCCCAGAAGACTATCAGCTAATTTTCTCAAAAGAAACTTTGCAGACAAGAAGACACTGGCAAGAAATACTGAAAGTGATAAAAAGCAATGACCTACAACCTAGATTACTCTATCCAGCAAAGCTATCATTTAGAATCAAAGGGCAGATAAAGTGCTTCCCAGACAAGGTAAAGCTAAAGAAGTTCATCATCACTAAGCCATTATTGCATGAAATGTTAAAGGGACTCATTAAGAAAAAGAAGAGCAAAATTATGAACATTAAAATGACAACAACCTCACAACTATCAACAACTGAATCTAAAAAACAAAAACAGAAACAAACTAAGCAAACAACCACAACAGGAACAGATTCATAGATATGGAGATCATGTGGAAGGTTATCAGCTTAGACAGGGGACTGGGAGAATGAGGGAAAAGGTGCAGGGTTTAAGAAGCATAATTGGTAAGTACAAAAGATGGGAGAAGGTTAAGAAGAGTATAGGAAATGGAGAAGCCAAAGAATTTATATGCACGACCCATGGACATGAACTAAGGGGGGAGGTGGGGATTGCTAGGGGAAGGGAGGTACCAGTTGGAGGGGGGAAAAGGGGGGAAAAGTGGGACAATTGTAATAGCATAATCAATAAAATGTACTTAAAAAATATTAGACAGAGGAAGCAAGCACATACAATGGGTTAAAGACAGTTTATTCAATAAATGGCATTGGGAAAATTGAATAGATACAGGCAGATAAATGAAACTAGGCCAGCTTCTTATGCCACACACAAGAATAAATTCAAAACGGATTAAAGACTTAAATTTTAGACCCAAAATGTCTGATATTTTACTGTCTATGTTTTCGAAGAACATAGACAGTAAAATATCAGACATTGCTTGTAGCAATATTTTATCTGATATATCTCCTCAGGCAAGGGAAACAAAAGAAAAATAAACAAATGGGACTACATCAAACTAAATAGGTTTTGCACAGATTTTTTTTTTTTTTATCACTTTCTATCAGTCCTTTGTAAACTCCTTGAGGATGGAACCCTATTGTGTTTATCTCTGTGTTCCCAATGCTCAGCCTCAGGTTCTAGAGAAAGTGAAGGAAGAGAGGACAGGAGAAATAACAAAAGTAGCTCCCATTTATGAGCACCTCCATTATCACACTTTGTTCTTAGCACATTACACAGATTACTCCTTTAAGGGAGGTATTCCTGTTTAGCCTCTTTCCTATAAAGCTAAGATGACAGTCACAAATCTAGTAAGTGATGAAGCCTAAGACCCTAATCCATGCAGTCTGGCTTTGGCGTACTGCCTTTCTGGCATGGAGGTCAGCAAACTTTTTCTGCAAAGGGTGAGAGAGTAAATATTTTAGGTTTTGTGGGCTATCCAGTCTCTGTCACAACCACTCAACTGTGCTGTTACAGTGAAAAGGCAGTCATGGCCAATTATGGCTGTGTTCCAGCAAAAGTTTATTTTACAAAAACAGGTGGCAAGTCTGATTAAGCCTATAGGCCAGTCTGCTCATCTCAGTTCTACAGACTCAGTAAATGTTCATCAAATTAAATTAGATCTAACAGTGCTGGAAACCAAAACCACCTCTCTGCCCTCAAATGATTCCCCGATCTTAGCCTAAAGCTGCCAGTCATTGCAGCCTTTAAGGCATTGCTCGGCAGGCCAATCCATTGCAGGCACTCAATAGCCAATTGTAGAACTGAATTCAATGGGATGGAAAAGAGGCTCTGAGGCTGATCTCTGTGCTAAGCTCCCACCCTCCCAACTCTCCCTCAAGAAACTATTGGATCTTAGCTAGACGTCCCTGCTCCCAGCACTGACTTCCCACAAATAAACAACCTTTACTTCTAAGAAGAAAAGATACTCCAAGGCTTCATTCTGTACCTCCAACTTTTATTTGGCCTTCATCTCAGGCATCTGAGGTTATCATTATAAAAATAAAATTACTTGAAAGCAGCAGGTAAATTGAAGAGGCTTCCACACAAAAGTGGGCCATAAGTTTCAACCTAAGCAGTGAAGACTTCCTGGTGTTCCATACAGGGTATTGTTCCCCAGCAGTTATGAGCACTGTTCGAATCTAGACCTCTTTATATAAATAATCAGAAAAATGGGTAGGGATTTTTTTTAAAAAACATGAAAAAGGGAAGCTTACTGAATTATGATCTTCCTGAGGTCAGGAGCCTTGTCATATTTACCTTTGCCTCACCAGAACACCTGGCATATAGCAGACCAGGAAATGTTTGTTGATGAATGAAAAAATGAATGTAATGAAGCCAAGAATTAGGTAATTAAGTTTGCTAAAACACACCCATTCTCCAAACCCCCTCAAGCGTGCTTCAAAGTCAGCAAGATCCTTGTGAAAGTTGTAAACTTTTCAGCTGTGAGTAGGGGGCAACCTTCGCCCTTATTTGCTCCAGCAGACTCACCATCTTGAGTGTTCTCACTCAGGATTTGGGCCCGAAATTCCTGCAGGCTAATTCCCAGACACCTGCAAACTTCCTCAGGGCTATAGGGCTCAGGGTGAAGAGCATCCTCTGTGATCAACAGCATTTCTTCCAGACTGACCCCTAGGGTGGCCTGCACCTCCTCCAGCCGCAGTACTTTATCCCATTGCAAGCTTTTGTACTTAGCCAGGAGCTGAAAGTTGAAACCAAGGTAATGGTCAGTGTTCACTGCAGAAATTAATGTGTGCTACTTTAATTAGCCAGATTCAACTTTAAGCTGTTTTTCTTTTCTTTTGTTTTTTTCCACTCAACCTATCCACATTTCTCACCATTGCTTGAAAATGCACACTGGGTTCAGATGTTTGGAATTAAACATGCTTGTGTGACAGTCGCAGGCTAGTTAAGTATTTTTCTTAAAGAAAAAAATAAAAACAAAAACTAATCTTCCACCAATTTTTTGCTTGTCACCACTTTTCCTCAGGGCTTTTTCTTTGAATAATGTTGTTCTTTTATCCCTATTCAGCTCATCCCTAATATATCACTCTCTGTAGTCTATTAAAAAAAAAAAAAAAAAACCCAACTCAAATCTCTCATGACCTGAGTCCTGAGGTAGACACTGTATGCCCAATTTCATTAGAGCACTTCCTGTTTACTACATGCCTCTTTGAAATGGCTAATGAATTTAAGTGTCTGGGTGTTTGGAGTAAAGTCCCAGATTTTAAATGAAAACCTCATTGGTGACCTTATGAACAACCATTGCATTAGGTCGCTGGTGCTAGTACAGCTGTACATTTCTGCACCCCCGAGAAGAGTTTGGCTTCCAACTGCATTCTGAAGCACCCTCATCAATCCATTGAAGGGGGTTAAGTACAAACCAAGTCTTTGTAACCAGGTCCACTCGCCGGAACCCCAATCCACGATATGTTTCCCTCATTCTCCCCAAACCAATGACTGAGCCCTTCAGAGCAGGTTGGTGACAATCAAAACAGTGAAGATATCTCTCTTCCTGGGGTCTGTAAAATTCACTCCCTCAGTGCGAAGACAGCAGGTGCAGACAACACAAACAGCAAAAAGAAGCAAGCTGTAGAAGGGGCAATTAGTCTTCAAGGCAATGTGTATCTGATTTACTCTTCTATTATACTGATGATTTGATTTTCTTTCTTTCCAACAGGAAGCAGGGTTTACCAAAAGATCATTGTACTCTGCTTAGGGCTACTCACTTCTGACAAATGTTAATAACATAAGTTCTTATATTCATTAATCTTCTTTTTAAACCTCTGGCTCATACATTTGAAAGGAGTTAATGATTTTAGGCAGAATGAGGAAAAGAGACAATAGGGTTATATTTTTCTATTCAATTATTTCACAGAACCTGCTGCCATTTTTAAAACAAAAATCTTTCTTCTGACCTTGTTTGCTTAGCACATTTTGTTCATGTTCATTAGCAGCATTAGATTTGATACCTCCACAGGTTGACCCATTCATTCCTTCACTTAATTTATTCATTCATGGTCTATGTTCCAAAAATAAAATTTCAGAAAACTTATAAAGACATATGCAAAAAATATATAATGTATTTGTATATTTTATACATAATGCAAAAAATATGTATTATGTATATATACAATATTATACATAATATCTATATATACTATATATACATATATAATATAATAAAGTATATGATGTGTATATATGATATACATAATGCAAAAGAAAAATATATAATGTTTTTATTTTATACAGAAGAAGAGGTGAAGTCAATGATCTCCAGGAATGATGCTTTCTCGAAATACAGATCCAAAACCAACTGAGATAAGCAATGAAGCTTGTATGGTGCTACATGATTTAAAATATGCTTTTTTCTTTCTTTTCATCTTTGGCAGCTCTGTGATGTAGGTACTATTACTCTATTTAGGAGATGAGAGTAACTGACTTGCCCAAAGAGAAAAAGCTGGAAATTGAACCCAGGTCCTGTGACTGTTTCTCACGTCCCTGAGACCACATTCTCAGTGAGGTCTGGTTGATGTCTACATCACGCTACTCATATTAGTTTAAAACATCACTCCGTCTTAGAAATAGTTTTCAAAGAATAAACTAAGATTGGTGTTAGAAGTAAACATTCCAGTGTTTAAAAACACTGACATATAGGTTCCTTCAAAGAAGAAGGAGGACAAGGCGAAGGGGAAGAAGGAGAGCTCCCAAGTAATGAGACTGGGCTCTTCCTAAGAACCTTTCAGTCAGCAATGATCTCTAAATGCCTAGCCCTGGCCACCCCCTTGAATAAGTCACACGGCCTCAGATGGGACATCCCAGGAAATTGGCCCGAGGATGCGTAGGGAGAAATTTCTGCAAGAGGTGCCTGGTCCCTACAAGGTTGTTGTCAAAGGCAGCCTCCCTATGTGCCTTTCTACTACAGACAGAGGCACTAACATGCAGAGGTTCACATTCACTCCAACAATACCCCAGTTTGCTGTTGGGTTCACTTAGTCCCCAGCGGGAGGATCCACACAGCCAATTTGGTGTGTGTTTCAATAAGAATGACATCTACCACATGCCCTCAACAACAGCTGCACAGCCATGAGCCACTGAGCATGTGTACTACATTGTGAGAGTGAAATAGAAAAGCCGCTTAAGCCCTTTGAAATTTGGCTCGGGAAACAGAAACATGACTTGCATATGAGGAAAGTGGGTGGCTAAGATCGCTGTTGCTCAAAGACAGAACTTCATGCAGGAATTTGCCACTTACAGCCCCGGTGGCTGGCCCACTTCACATTTGTGAAGCAAGGCTATGAATCAGGGATATGGGTCATTCCACCACAAGTTCCCCGTTTCGCAGGAGGGTGTGAAAAATAAAAGAAAGCAGTTCTTTGTCAGCATTCACCATTTTCTTTTCACCACAGCAAACATTAAGTGTTCACGTCAGATACCACTTCCAGGAGGTCCCTGAGCCTGTTCCATGGTTTGTGGACAAGAAAGCAGGAAACAAGTACTTTGTCCACAGTCATGGAAAGAGGCAAATGGATAGCACTAGGGACCAGTCTTAAGTTGGCTCCTCTTGGAAGAAAAGCCTAAGACAAGAATTGGAAGGGTCAGTGATACCCAGAAACACTGGTAGAGGAAGGAAAGACAGGAAGAGAAGCCAACATGGGGCGTACTGATGTGGTCAGGTGAGGCGGGGCCTGCTGGATGCTCTAGGACCTGCATATATAAACCTCAGATGTATCCCACCTGTGGGCAAGAAAGCTGGGCTCTTTACCCACTAATTCTCATCTGTCATTGATTGAGAGCTGCTTCCAAAGGGAATTAGCTCACTAGCACTTCCAGGCTGTCCCAGGAGCAAACTAGGTACTCTCCTGCCATTAGAAGAAGACCTCGGTCTGAGTATCACAGGGATGTCCAGTAAGAAAGTCGGAGAGGAGAATGCAAGACAGTGGCCCTAATTTAGGAGCCTGTCTGTCAGATCCCCCTCTCTTTGACTTTCTCATTACATTTAGCAGTGTTAACAAATCAATGGGAAAAGTACCAAATCGGCTCCTCATCAGGTCAGCAAACTAAAATTTCTAGTCCCTTTCTGAGTTACCTCTAAAAACAATTCATGTAAGTTGTTTCCCACACAACAAAAGCAGCTGTGTTGTTTCTGGTTATACAACTGACCCACACTTTTTTTAAAACTGCAAAAAAAATACAGTTCAAAGTACAAAAAAAAATAAATAAATCATCTATAATCACCCAATGAGATAACTGCCAACTGCCATTCTGATAACCATCCTATTATGCATGCCTTTATGCATACCTACAAACATATAGTTTGAAATAAATGGGATCATACATAGGTGTTTTTATTGTACACAATTCTTTCTTTGCTCACCTCCCCCGCCCCTTCTTCCACCTACTGTTCATGCTCTCTGTATTAGTTTGCAGGCCACAGAAGAAAGCCGGAGAAATCTACACAGCTGGGCATAATGGCGCTCCTCGCTGCGGCCTCAGCACAGCATCACCGAGCCGCAAGCCCTGGATCTCACTCTCGCCCAGCGCAGAGGCACATCGGGAAGAGGAGGGGCGGAGGGAGACCTCGACCCCTGCAGTGACTTAAAACCAGTCACAACCTGCCTTGGCAGGAAATTCCCAGGTAAAGGGACCCTTAATAGCTACTTCACAAGCTACTGTAAAGCTTAAATAAGATAATAAAGACACCTAGTACCTTTCCTGGCCCAGAAAGAGGCACTCTGTGAAGGTCAAGTTTCCTTCCCTCCCCACATTCCCCTGCCTCTCTAGCTAGTTCTCTCCCACCTAACACTTTTTCCTGTGTCTTCAAACACATACCGATGTTTCCTGCCTTAAAATGTCTTATTCCTAAAGCTACTACTCTTCATTTCTCCCTCTCCTTCAACGACTAGGACCAGTAGCCCAGAGGCACTGCTTCCGGGCCCTCAGCAGCCATCCATTTAGTATGGCCTCCTGGGGGCCCTTCCTTATCTCCAAAACCACTTCCAACGCCACGGGAATTTCCCAGTCGCATTATTCCTTAAGGAATCAGTGACTCTGGTACTCTTTTTTATCCATCTCCTTCATGTTCCCTGTTTCATTGGCTTCTATAGCAATGAATTTTCCTGGTTTCCCTTCTCACTTCTCTAGTCCTTATACCAAATTCATCCAAGACTCCCTTTTCTCCCCTCAGTTTTTAACTGAAGCCTTCCCCCAAGTTCAACCCCTGGCCTTTTGACCTTCTCTTGCCACACTTTTGCTCTCAGCAATCTGAACTAAGCTCTTGGTTTCAACTACTGCCTCAAAACAAATATACCTGAAGGCTAGAGCCCTAACCCAGGGATACAATCCAAGCTCAAATATCTAATCACTTATACGAAAATTCCATGAGGAAATTTCATCACCTCCCACTTCCCAGTCACCTTCCACCTTATCCTCTCCAAACCTACCGGTGGCAGCCCTATGCTTTCCATCCATCATTTCAGCAGAAAACTGCCACCCTGTTGACTCAACACTTTGCCTTCCTCCATGCACATCTGCATGCGATGAGTGTCACTGTGAACCTACTACTTCTCAGGCCCTTGGCGGACAGCAGTGAATAAGGCACTCATGGCTCCTGGCCTCAACGAGCTCAGTCTTCCCGAGGAGACAGATGTTTAGTAATTACACAGTGAAGAAGTCAATCCAAACATGATAAGCTGCTAT